GATACAAATTACTTCCAAAATCAACCCTCAATGCCATCCATGCAAACCTAAAATGAAGGCACAAAATATGTATTATAAAAATTGCAAGGGTGCAGGTCAAAGACCTTGAGGCTATGTCACATGCCAAACGCCAAGCCCGATCCACGACTTGCGGTGGAAATGAAGTACAACTTAAAGATGGCCAGCAGCGGCACCTGCTAGCGAGATGTCACAGCAACGGCGGGGGGCCACGGAGCGCTCCCACGGGGGAATCCACGGTTGGGCGTCGGATGCTTTACCGAGGCGCACGTCGACTTCAGTCATGCTCAACAATCTCGTCAGCGTTTGTGGGGCTACACTGCCACAGCATCTTAGAGGTTAACTACCCCTCAAGCTACTGTCATTTCCGTTCTGTTGTGGTCGTCATGGACGGTTAATTGAATTAGTAATATTTTGCGGTGGGCCGGACTCAAGGTCAGGCGTAGCGGGAAATAATTTTGTGTTCATCGTCCGGGCCGTGCCCTACGTGTGTGTGTGTGTTCGGCTATTAGGCCTAAGGAAAAGGCAAGTCACTACACAGGATTCTTACCGTTCTGAATTAAGTAAGGAACATCTGCTTTGGATTTTGCCAGTTCTTTTCCTCAGCAGGAATTCAAAGGAAACGTTCCAAATCTGGATAAAAATAAGTCTTCTACTACAAAGGATAGCTTTACACCTGGTCACGCGTAGGGTGGAAGAAATTAGGAAACGTTATTGATAAGAATAATTTAATCTATAAAAAAACGAACCAAAGTGAACCTTTTAAAGTGGTTGAGTATAATGCACGAAACTGAATTGATTTTTATTCCTCACTTTGGCAATAATACCGCATAAATCCATGCATATAATAAGAAATAAAATTATCACTGTTGCCATGAACAGTGGAACTTGGCTACACTGCTGCATAACATTGGCGGAATAGGGCGACAATCGTTTCACTTAAATCGAAGCATTGCTTACCTCTCAAGGCTTAAAAAGGCTCCATGAGGCAATATTTCGAAAAGCGGGCTTAATGACACCATGTTTGTCTCCCAAAGACCCAAACCTAGTTGTGAGAGTCACTGTAGTTATAACGCACACAAGTCATGCAGGTCCATCAGTATCGGTTCTCTAAGCACTGCGTCGTTATTATTCACCACCGTAGGATTATTTAATTATGGTTGAATAATCCAAACCTTAAGACGATGGGATTCGACAGTCTGCATCGACAACGAGGCTCAATGTTGTCTGCAAGTGAAACAAGGGAAGTAAAAGCCAAACCAGGACGTCTGGAACTTGAGTGATGAATCAATGAACCCTCGAATCATGATGGAACAATTATTCCGCGGACGTCTGAACAAATCGCATTATAAATTCGAACTGTCGAACTTTCGGACTTTTGCATTAAAATACTCTGATTAACGAACCATGTTTCAAAGAGAAAAGACAAATGACTTTTCTATTTATAATTCACTGGTTTCAAAATAAAAGAGAAAGTGCAGATGTACAATCTATGAACCCCCTAAAAAATAACATGAACGACAATTAGCAGCAAACAACACAAACAAACCACGGCCCACTGCGTATGGTCCTACAGATTTTTAAGAAATGCATCGTCTTGGCTCCACTGTCTCGCGTATAACTGCCAATAAACAACATGCAGTGGGGTCTTAGTACATTAGAGACAATTAGAATTGGTTCACGCAAAGCATACGTATGCGACTGAGAAAAAATGGTTAATTTGAACCCCGCACTATGAGCAGTGCACATTCCACATCAATATACTGTATATGCTCAAATTTTCACTCCTAGGTTTGTGAAGTAACCGCACAAAACGGCGATATAACCTCTCGGTTTTTCCGAGCAATATATCTGTTATCTCATACTCGAATCATTTAGGGTCCCCATCGTGCGTGTACAATAATTACGCCGTGTGCAAAAATGACCTCTTACACGCGGTGGTACATCTACACAACTACGTCAGTGCATGGTCGTGCGATGGCCGTGAACTCTGGTATCTTAAGGTTCCAAGGTACATTGCAACGTTTGTTATGAAACAACCGCAAAGGAATGCCACTCGATAAGATTGGCTGAAGATAGTTTTGAAACAGACGTCAAAGAGATAATCATACGGGAATCATACCCATTTCGTTTATGTGTTTGCATTAAATGGGTTCAACACACAAAAGTTAAGGGGATGCAGGAAGTGCAGTGCAATGTAATTGGGAGGTTCTTTAAAATGGAGTTGTTCTAAGGATTCGAATGATCATTTACTAATTTGGTAAAAAAGACCAGACTAGGTTTTTATTATTAGGAACTCATGAATACCTGAGACACATTTACCTTGGAAGATTTTGATTGGTCTAGAAACCTTCACGTGGTCTCCACGGTGGACGGTAAAGTAGGTGACTGTTTTTTTCAGATGACAAAAACGTCCGAGTCAGATACATGTTTAAACCCTCCAGTAATGAAACATGATGGTCCCTGACATAGGACATAAAAAGCTGCATCTGTTGTCGGTATTACTTTAAGAAATAATTCTTTAAAAAGTCTCTTGAAGTAGGCAGTATTTAATGCTGAAGAAAATTACCGATATAATGAGGTGGCGTACCTTGGAACTGCTATTGAAAAAGGCGCAGTTTAACAGATTTCCGAAACACGGTTCCACGGATGCTATAACTTACTGTCGAACAGTCGTCTGGTGCATACACAGCAACCTTTTTGGAGGGTTACATGAATAAACGAATTTGCACTGACAGTTTTAATGAAGTTTCCCCATGCATAACCGTCGCTGATGAAGTAAGCACAAACACTAAGATACTAGTTTGCCCGTCGTTTAAACTGTAACAGCCCCGGGGCTGAACACATATACTGTAGCCACAATAAATCGCAAAATGAAACGAAATTACTGGGCAGTTTTCAATTATTTATCCAAATTTTGGTCTGGGCTGAAGCATTTCCAGAATTGTATGACAGGGAAAAAGTGTGAACGAGCGATTTTAAACTAGTATAGTCAAAATCGGTTGAGAACCTGGCTCTGACAACGGACTGAGTCGAGCACTTAGGCGGTTTTAAAAGTTAAAATTCGTTCCATGACACTTTTTCCCTTTAATACCACAGTTCAGTGTTCTCGCACCTGTTTGACTTATTGTTTTGTTACCTGTCTGATACCTATCGCTTATCAAACAACTGAAACAAACCAGAGCCATCAATGATAGACCATTCTCCACTGCAGGCCCTAAAACGCAACAAAATCCACGGGCAACTCGCAATTCTTTTAAAGTCATCACTATCGCTAATGTCCCAAGATTAATTGCTCAGGATGCAAGGTGTTTAAATAATATTTCTCCGAACCCACTTCCAACCCTGTCCCTCCAAAAAAGAAATGGATATAAGGTTTGCCTGTGCGTGACAAGAGAACTTGACGATTTAGTGCATAATACCCTCCCATACCAATGAAGAATGGTTCCTCAAGGTTGCATGTATGTCTAGACCTGATGAAGTTATCCTGAGAGTGTCATGCATTAGCAATACTGATATTAACTCCAATGTATCTCCTTGGAAGTTCACAACTGTCCTTGCGCAAGGGGTAGGACTATGTCTTGACCATGTCATGCCATGTCATGTATAATGCCATGTAAAGTCAAGTCATTCTGTCGTTTAACAGACCTGCTTAACATTAAACGTTGGACCCCTTGGTTTTACGTTCACAACTGTCCACCCACGCAAGAATAAGGACCCCATTCTTGGGCATATATAAAGACACTGCCGTGTCACCTCATAACATATGTAATGATAGTTAACTCCCTTTCATGTATTAACAGACCTGCTGTTGAGGCCTGCTACATGTTAAACCTCCTTTAAAGTGCTCAACTGCCTTGCACATGAAATATAGACTCTGATATGTCATGTCATACCAAGTCATGTCATGTCATCTCGTGACAGGCCTGCTTAGCAGTCAAAAGCCGTAGTGATGGACATGCTCCCGTGCACCACCACATGATAAACCTAATATCCTCTTAATATCTCGAAGACGATGTGTAACATTACGACACTACTGGATTGTCGTTATTATTGGTCTTTTGATATTTCTGATTTTCACGAACGACAGGGACTCCCTCAAAGTTGTGCTAAATCCTTGACTGTGTTCATAGACTAACCAATTAACCTGCTTCTGAACTACGGATTTTCTGAATTTAGATCCAAATTAAGTTGAATTCCATTAACAAAACTGTGTTGATTGAGTTCTATACATTGTGGAAAGACTCGTCCAAATTTCTTTCATTGTTTAATTTAATTGACCTGTTATTTTGAAATTAAAGTAATTTTGTTTAAGTTATATCTACTCGTTTGTCTCAGTTCATGACACAGCTGTGTATGTGTTTCGAAAACTATGTGACAAGCTGCGACCATCTCTATCCGCCCCAAGTGGGGATGGTTCACAAACGACTATGAAATGCCATAATGTCAAACAATATTTCGTCTGGCAGAATGATTCAAATTCGACGACCGGCCAATCAGATGACAGGAATATAAACAGGTGTCGTATGTATTATCACTTTAAAAAGCGTACTCTGCGCCGACACTTGAGTAAGGAGGTTTATCGTCTGATAAATGTTACCTCTTAATTGGCGGTCTCCGGATCAATCAAAGCTTCATACTGTCTGGGAACTATTTGTGAGTTAGAAAATATAATTACAATGTGTTCCATTCAAGAAATACAAATCATTGAAGAACAATCTAAATCTTACAATGTCAAAATTTGTAGCTTAACGATACTCGTATCCGTTAAATCAAACGTTACGTGCATTTTTCTATCTGCGTAAGTAAAACGCAATTAAGAAGTTGGCAAAAGCAATTAAAACCAACGCAACACGTGCGTTTCACAAAAGTACCCCTCCAAGAGTTTGCAACGCGTTGGCCAATCACAACGCGCGAAACTTGTCGACTCTTTCCAAACGCGCATTGGTCGACAGATTCCGCCCACTGTGATTGGTCAACGCGTTGCAAACTCTTGGAGGCGCACTATTGTGAATCGCTCGTATTCTTAATTAAAAAAAACTAACCTGTAAGCTGTAGACATTTTCGAACAGACGAATACAAGTTAGCCAAGTGGATAGCCAACCCCCTCCCCAAAGAAATAGATTATAAACGAAAAAACATGAAAAAATGACCAAAGAGCATAACCTAATTCGTGTCAAAATCATTTCTTAATTGACTGTTATCTTAGTTGAATTTTGTAATTGAATCTAATCTGAATGGTACTCTATTTTGCTCCTGGGAAAGAAAAACCCCATACACGCCTTGTACGATTAGTAGTATCTAGAGCTAATCTACATACATATAGTCAGACATGTCACAGAAAAAAATGGTCCATATTTCCCGTGTACTCCGTGCATGCAAATGCAATATGAAGCCTACCAGGGAGAATTAATGAGTCCATAGACTCACTTAGTCGTTGAGGCATTCTGCAACCAATTCCTAAATCTGCTCATTGAATACCCAAAAAGCTCATAATCAACGTCGTAAAGTTTGGCCAATGCTACGACGTCTTCCGATGCGAGTTTTGGGAACTCCTGCCGAGCGACCGATAATGAGTCCGAACGGCCGGCTGGAAAACGGAGGTTGCCATTCCCTTGCCGGCGGCCGTCGAGGGCGTTCAGGATAGCTGCCGCGTCGGGGCCCAGGGTCTCGTAATGCCCAACGAAATCGTAGCGGACGAGGCAAGGACGACATCGGGAGTTGTAGGTTTCCCAGTGCATGTCTCGCACTAGGGGGGACCTGGGTGGCCCAGCAGTCAAGTACTTGACGAATTCAGTGAAGCTGACCGGCTGATCCTCAACTGCTGATGAAGATAGCACAAGTTGCTGTGCACCGTGGACTGAATCTGATGAGGAGTTGTTGCGTGCTCGGTGCTTCGAGTAACCCCTTATTTTGGCTCCCCAGGAACTCTGGTAATTGTGCCTTTGGGGCCCCACTAGGAACTTGTCGCGCCATCCTGACACCAGTCGCAACATGGGATCCCGAACGAACAAAAACTTGGTGTACTCGCTCAGCCGGCGTTCCCGCTGGTGTGCCGAGTACGTGCCCAGTCGCCGCAACCCCATCCCACCCACGCTATGGCCGGCTGGGTAGGCGGACGCTAGGGCGTCAAGGACGCGGCGCCAGGCGATCGACGACACCTTTCGAACCTCGCAGAAGACGAACCGATGCCGATCGTCTACGAGCAGGTGGCTCGGCGGGACTTCAGCTTTCCTCAGCCGGTGTTTGTCCCGTAGGCTGTCACAGGTTTCCCGCAGAACCTTTCTCCGTAACTGCTGTGTCTGCCACACATCATAGGTTCTATTGACGGTCTCTGGATGATGCAGGTACCGATAGCTGTCCAACTCTAGTGCAGTGCGGTCTTCAAGCCAGGATTTAGACTTTTCTGCCTTGTTATCTATCCAGGAGGCATCACGATAGTTTGTTGTCTGAAAAGATACATCAAACCAATGTCTTTCGCAAGCTGTATCATTTCTTTAGTAGAGGTTTTGCGTAGTAGCCATCTTGCAGGGTAATTTCTTAGTTCCACAGGGATACCCTCTTCGTGCATACCCTGTGGAACAAAAGCACTGGCTTGTAAGATGACATCCATGCAAACCCTCTATTGTGAGGTTGGAAGCCACACATCTAATCATAACAAAATGCTGATATAACTTATGAAGCTATCCTTCATTGAGGCTGTGTGGTTTCTTTGTTGCTGCTTTTTTTTTTCGCTTTTCCTGTTGTTTTTGGTGTTGTTTCTGTTCTTAAGGTGGATTTAACCCATACTATGCTGACCTACTGGTATGTTTTGCTAAAAATGACTTTCCCACGCACGACGAACGAGCTAATGACGCAATATGCCCGGAGACGTCAGTACGCCGACCTGCCACATAGCGCATGACTCGATGCACGTTCCAAACGGCATTACGTCTGTTTAGGGTCGACGTCATCGAAATAATCAGGGCAGTCAATACATTGATATTGATTGTCTAAACAATGAAAGACAATACCAATGAAAAAACGGCTGTTGTGAGAACGCCTTTCACGTTAAAAGCACTGTTTTCGTGGAGATATTGAAGCATTGTTGGGCAGGCACATTGTAGGCCTATCAGGCCCACGTTATGCAGACTTCATAATTGTCTCCGTAGTTGGCCTGCACCCTAGCTACATTCTGGTGAGACAGGGGAAGAGGGCCAGCTGAAATGGCACAATTGGCGGAAACTGCCCCCCCCCAAAAAAAAAAAAATTTCCAGCATGACCACACTCTTTTTTGGGATGTCGAAGCTTTTCAACTTTCTAGAGTCGAAGCCAACATTGTGTAAATTTGGACGTCACCGCTTTTCAAGGTCATTTCAAAGTATTATTTGCGTCGAAATCTTCAGGTGGCTTCTGAAGCGTCCACATCACAGGAGGGAATGGCAGTTCACAAAAGGTTGCCTGAGATACTTTATGACTAAATGTACCAAGTATGAAATGTTGCACACAGACTAATCCCATTAGACGCCAGAACTGCGGTGGCACCGCACTCACACGCACATTCTTCTGCTTGACGCGCGCGTGCACTTGGCAAGTCACGACACCCTGTTGGTCGAAGTGACGGCTAACGCGCGCGTACCACCTGCCCGCTAGCGTTATGCTACCACAGTAATGGCTGCTAATTCTGCACCGAAGCGCTGATGTGCTTAAACTTCTTATATTTCAAATTACAGTAGTATCTATCATCGCATATTGAAGCTTAGATTACGTTGGTATGGTATTTGCCTTGGTGCGAGAAGGCAAAAACGATGACCCTTTTAAAGGTTGGAAGCAGCTAAGAATTGTCACGGCGATATGTTCTAAGTCATTTCAGGAAGAAAATGTGGCATTCAGGCAACACTTTCTTTATATACGTCTGAATTCCTAACAATTTCATTTGAATATTTTGCACATTTCACGTTGAGCAATATCAATGCAGCTCCATAATTGTACCACACAGTGAATGGTCGTCCATCAATGTTTATTTAAATACGGCATTGGCCGTTTTGACACAATGAGCTTTTTATTACTTGAAAACAATACCCCTACCCCTCACTGCCGGGGGCCATGCAAAAACAGGAAAATATTGATCGGCTGGAGAAAGACCTGTCTTTGTTTATGCGCAAGAAGACCAACTGGCATTCATAATTTGGGACTCCTATTGTCTGCATGTAACTGATTTTCAATTTGACGGAGCAGACATACGTAACGTGACCATTACTGTTTCCGTGATACCGATTTTGCGACGTTAATAACCTTTCTACATACGCTCATCCAACATTCACGTATCCATAAGTAGGCCTCGCTCTTTAATACTTACATGACTTGTATAAACATTGTCAATACCACCGAGGAAAAACCTTCCACTGTAATACAACTTGGTAGGCCTATGGGCGGCTAATGCAGAAAGTTCCCTGTTGATTGACAAAAGCCTCTGTATGCATGTACCTAAAGTGCACACTTACCATTAGTGTGATGCAGGGAAGTAGTTCAGGATTTCTATTACTATTTGGTGGATCATGTAGTATCAGGTATCTCTCCTGTTTTGGAGTGCACAAATTAACTTGAAGATACATTCGAACGTTCGACTCAGCATGAAGCCTGATTGCGTCTAATATGCCCAATATTCACTGAATCACTCAAAGTCTGTGAGCCTATTTCACGCTCTGGCCAAAGATTCAACGACAAAACCAACCCTGCTCGGAGCACATTAGCCCAGGTGCGGTTCTACAGCCCTCACCCTTTTCTAGCCCCCATACAAAAAAGGAAACAAAAGCATAAAACATTGGATTCGAGATTCTGAATTTCAATTTCAAAATGGCTCTAGACCCGCGCCTGCATTAGACTACCACAACAGTTGTTCACAATCATAGCGCGACCTTTGAAAGGACTCGTCATGCAACAGTCGTCGAACTTAGTGTGATATTCAAACCTATAAAGGCGCGCGCACTTGACGGTGTTGTCGCTTTCAGGCATTTTGACCACAAAGGACGAGTGGAACTCAAGACATACGGCCAGCACGGACAATACGGGCAAACGCCGAACGAACCTGGGTGGCTACGGGATGCAAGATACCGTTGGGCTAATATTACTCTTTTCGTACGCTATACATTGGGCACAACTCCGCCGAATCCTACAGGGAACGAGAGCACCTCCAGGAGAGCTTTGAATGTGGCCACTCCTCGCCTTCCCAGTCCTATGTGCACCGGTCGAAGAGGTTGTTTTTGTTTACTAGGAGGAGCTGAAGACATCTATCATCAGCCATTTCACCTTGTTTAGACGGATTGTGTTTTTTAGACACCGCACCTGCAGAATCGCACAATCACTACCGGTAAGTGTAGGCCTATGTTTCTACCTCCACCGCCCAATGCAACGAAACAAACACCTTTATAATAACTGCATGCTTTATCAAGTCCTCGAATTCGAAACTTTGCCTCTAAAACATGAAAACCTCTTTCACAATTAAGAATCGCTGATATTCATCTATGATTTTTTCCACTTCCTGCTATTTGAAATCATTACCTGGCAGTAGGCCTAAATTAAAAATCCACTTTATACCAATTACACTGGCTAATTACATTACATGTACTGTGTATGTATCTTTTTCATATTTGACTCATCAAATGACAGTAATTTCGTGCCCCGTCACAGCATTATGTTTGCCGGATATCTACAACGGGTGCAAACAGTTCTTAGTCGAGTACACTCTTACGGTACTATGAAGAGACAATACTGAAAGTGATAAGAGTTTAGTAAGATGGCCTTGGAACAGCCCAAGGCCTTTATAAATAAAGTGCGTGTTCAGTGGGGTTCGTAAGCCGCTCCATGTTTGTAGTGAAGTGAGGATGCTGTTTTGCTATCGATATCTGCAAGCAGTAAGTGCACTGTATACTTTTGTGCCTCGATCCCTTTTCGTTGCAAGATAGCAAGCCCACCGGACCGGACGATGTTTGGCGAAGGTGTTGGGGTTGGACAGGTGCAGTCCTTAATAGGATCGTCGAAAGACGTGGATTTAATGGAATGGCTCTTTTTTCAAACCTGAGAATTGAAAAGTGGTTTTAAGCTTGGGTTTTGGGAAACATGGCAAGTTCTTAACCTTTACGCCCACCACTGTAAACTTTGAGGATAAACGGAACGGTCTCTCTCACAAAATCTGAGGAGTTTAAGTAAAATCTTGTTCAAATTTCTTGAGCACGATTGTTTTGCACTGACTACCACTGCCCATGCAACGTTCTAAATATTGCTTAAGTGATCTAAATGTCACTTTTCCCAAACTGCTGAACTGTTTTCGGCATAAAATGCTGTCGCAACGTGAATCTATTCTAAAGGCAGATTATTTAATTACAGACATCACTTCCGTACGATATGCATGTGGCCACTGCGGAGTCATAAAGCGAAAGTTTTACTTATTATACACATTTGTTCTGATGAAGTTGGTAATTTAGCAGTATAGTTTCTAATAATTTCTGGAAGGTCAGAGCAACTGTGGGGCTCGATAGAGATGGGCAAGTGGATTGCATAGACTGTGTGTATCTCCTGTCCAAAATTGCTTCCATAGGTTCCTTGCTGTTACGTTTGGGGTTAAGGTTTGCCCTACTAAAGCATGTTAACTCATTCACCTATCTAAGGATAACATCACACGCGCACTAAAGTTCCAAAACAATCCGCCAACTGTTGTCCCTTAAAGTTGACAATGATCGCTCCTGGAATGCAAGCAGGCCGAAAAGAGTTATCTACTGAGATTATGGCGGGGAAGTCTCGGGGGAGGAGGGATGGAAGGAAACACGAGGGAGGTCACCAGCAATTGCCTGCTCTTGTTTAAGGCACTGGCCTTGGACGACCGACAAAGTTTGGGGTTTTACTGCCCAAGAAAAGTTCACGTTTGGGGGTAACCCTCTTTTTGATGGCGTGGTGCCTGGCTTCCGAACAGGTGCTCGAAAAGAAATTTGAACAGAACCAAGTAATCTCATTTCCTTCAAAGTCCCGTCGAACTGCCCACCTGAGAGCTTTATCCAGTGAAGTACCGAGGTGAAGAGATGAGCCTCTCGACAATAAATTCAATTGTTCTTCTCAAAAAAGGGGGGGGGGGTTGGATTGGGTGGAATGGCTGGGGTTATATATAATTACCAAAATAATCTGGGTCAATTTCATATCACTATTTTTGTCATATTTATTGTCAATGGTTCTGTTTGAATCTATTAGAGCATCTGAGAACGCGAATTAAACGAGGATGCAGGCAAATATGAAGCCTAGAAATTAGCCTTGGCCAAACCCACTGAGGATTTATATTGCGACAGGAATGTCAATTCCATCAGATCCAAGTTTAAAATGTTAAACGATTTTTGTGAATCGAGACTGTTTATTCAGGACTGGGCGTAGAAGAGAGTTCTCCGTGGTCGATATGTAGACACCTTATTAGAATTTTTGTTCAAAACCAACGACATGAGTAATAGATTGCAAATTGGAGGGGGTATAATTGATGGACATAAGCCCGTATAAATAAGAGGGTCCGCGTGATCAGTGTCATTACAAACAACAGCTGGGAAGCGACCGGCGAAATTCTTCGATCGATAACATTTTGTTGCGGGGGCAGGGAATACCCGAAGCTCTTCTGCATTCTTTATAAAAATAACTTTATGTCTTCAAGTTAATTATCTTGGCGGTTTTACCCCACATCAAAAAATATTGACCTGTCAAATTAAGGTGGCATCGCCGTCCATTCGATTGCCCTTTTTTTTTCTTTTCTTTTTTTTTGAGAGCTAAAATTGATTTGATTTCAGGAATTAATCAATGGTGGAACACAACCTCTCCTTATTTGTAGGTGTGTGTTTGTGTGTCCACGTGTACGTGGTTTTACGTCATCACTGTAGACGGGCAAATTTGAAGAGTGACACTAATAGCGATCTTTAGGGGGTATTCACTCCGTCATCATTATTGGCTTTTCCTCAAAACTTCTCCGAGTTTCTAATTCATTATATAAAAAAATCAGATTATAAAATAAGGCATCGTGTAGTTTTTGAAATTGTTCTTATATATTAAGAGCACTCCTCTATTCACCGTAAATCAAGCCGGTCACACGGGGCCAAGGTTGAATAATGCAAAATATTGCATTGTTAATACAACACCGTGTGCGGTTTATGCAAGAGACCCTATATATCCTGGTTCTGTATATAGATAGACTCGGTGTTAATCCAACATCACAGAGTGCCAATCCAACTCCGCACTTTTAAGTTTTTAATGTAATTTGCAACCTGACAAGGGCATACACGGCAAAAGGCACAGAACCCTCACATTTTGAAGCGTTTTCACAATGAACCCTTTCTCTAAAGGCGCCCTGTTTTGCTGTAGTGAGCCGGAGGTGTTTCATCGACAAATGTACATGTACATGTACGTGTGTTCAATAAAGCACGTGCTGCCATAACGCTGACTTTTTTCGTTGTGTAACACTACTTTACTCACCGCTTCCAACTCTCCGTTTTCCCCTCGCCGGCGTTCTGTGGAATGTGTTCCTTTGCCTGTCACGTGGAGAAAAGGAAATTAACACCAAGTTTTTGACTAGCAAGATACAGAAATAAAATGGCATAAGAAATAAAACTCCTTCAATTTCTTGTAATTTAATGATTCAACGCTGTGAACCGCCTTGGAGATATGTCAGGTGTGTTTGCTTTTGTAAGTTTTTGACTACGAGTAGAAGCAAACAAGCTTGGAAACAGAGCAAGTACTTCGCAATGAATTACCGAAGAAATCAAAATTTCAATTACTTCAGGCTTTCTTTGAAATATGTGTTCCTGATGTCCGAACTATTAAAATGACAGAAATCTCCTAAAGTATTCTCAAGTTGAATTAACTTATCAACCCATAATCGGCACAAGTTTATACATCAGACTCATAATCCTAGACAGAACAGATAATTGTTTTTGAATTGCACTCGCCACCGTAAATAATATTGAAGCCGTCCTTACACTCGTTTTCATGCCTGTAGCGTGCAATGTTGAGCTGCACACTCGCGTAACGCATTTCAAATTAAGCAAGAATTTGGTCGGCGTATATACCGGCTGGTCTTCAAAGTATTTCCATAATTATCGACAGGCCCCATGCTGACGACCTGCCTTGAGCTGTTTATGTACGACCACGCTTAAAAAAAGTTTGAGCAATTAATGTTAATCTCTCCTCCGGTGCAAGTTTCAACTTCAGAAGGGAGGTCGGAATGTTAGCAGGGAGAAGTTGAAATGCACACTGTACCCTAGTAGACAGTAATGGAAAATCATTCTAGACGTTTGAAGGAAACTTGACATTAATGGGGTTTCAGGTGCGGCGTGTAAGTGCTTATAGAAAAAGAAAGCCAGCATTTTCATGGTAGGTTTTTTAGTTAAAGGGAATTCTGGAAGAGCAGTCAAATGGGCGGATTGTGGAAAGTATTGAGACAAATTTATCGGTGATTCCTGAATAGTTTTGGGGAAATTAAAATCCCTAAACCTAATGTGGTGAAAAATAACAGAATGTAGGTCTAAATACTTCACGTCAAAGATAAACTATTTAAAGAGAAGTAATTCTTGTCATTTTAACCTCGAAGTATATGAAAGCCGTCCAGAAATTATCACTGGTTCATAATAATTCATGAACACTTTTCATTATTAAATAAAGAATAGGCTTCACATTATACTTTTGGTAGGATGCATTGCTCCTGCCGTTGTTTGAACCACAGTTCAGGGGATCCCATAATAAGTCAGCGAATACATTCATGACTGAGAAATGGGTAGACTTCAGCCAACCGGCCACAAGATAACAACCACCCAACAATGATAAATTATTATTCCTAGATAACACAGGAGGTCACGTGGGATATTGTTTAAGCTGACCGTGTGGAATTTCCTGTTTCATTTGTATCGTTTTGATTCACCAAATGCCACTTTGGCATGTAACACTGGTTTTCCAGAATCACACAATTTGGGTAAGAAAGAGACTACACTTCACATCACTTTGACATTTACTTACCCGAGATCTTTGGCAGAGCCCCGGCTATCTGTCTTGAAGTGAAGGTCTCACTGTGGTCACGGAACAAGTTCAAGGTAAACAGGGCTTGGTACAATGACACGACAACTGATATTGTTATCAGTGTCAACAATAGAACAACAGACTTCAAAGAATGTAACATCGTGCCAGTACTGCGCCTTATTACCGTCGCTCTAATAAACACAGATCAGCGCGATTTCCCATCGTATCAACGCAACAGCAGCAGTGGAACTTCACAATACAGTAATACGACTTAGCCAAGTGTACACTATGCACGAACATACTCGTAGTGTGTCCTTGGTCGGAAGCAAAACGACCGTTTCCGTTACGAGTAATGGACGCATTATGTGCGGGCGCGAGGGCGTACGCGAGACGAGCGAGAAACGCGCGATTCACGCGGACATAAGGCGCGTGCTGCGTTGCGCGTGAGGAAAGCATTGATCTCAATGACGATACCATGATGGAGGAAAGTTCGGTTGTGCTACTGTAGCAGAGATAACATGTGGGGCATATGATGGGCATACCATTAACAATACGGTCAGTTCAATGCCGTGAATCAGATCTATGATGCTGTGTTATTATGTAGGATTTTTAAATTTGTCAGTAATGGTGTTAAATCGTGCCCTCGAGTTCCTACGTTCTGATACTCAGTAAGTTCAACTGTCATTAATAATTAAGTGTTCATATTAACTTTTCCCTGTTGCTCCTTAGTACCTATATGTTTCATGCTCGCGCCATTACTAATTATTTTTTAAAAATCATTCCCATTTCTAAAAACACATAATGTGCAGTTCTAATTTTCCTGCACAAATGAAACAAAAAATTGCCCACGATTGAACAACTAGAAGTACTGAAGATGCTTGGTGGAAATGCCCAGCTGAAACTGAATGGATTTGAGCTTTTGTACGCTCCATGCTTGCTGAATTTGATTTGACGTTTCAATAAGTTAATTAAGTGCCGAATTTAGTGTCAGTGAATCTCATGTAAAGTGATTAATAGTGCTTGTTTAAACATTGGCTACTTTGGCCGGAAAGGTCATAGGCCTGTATTGTTTGCTTAGTAAACTTACGTCTTAGGATATTGAAAAATTTACCCGTTCTCGGAAAAATATGAGATATTGATTTGAACGAAAGGTATTTATTTACATTTACAAAACGAATGAGCATTGACCACATTTTTATCTTGTCACTTTTTTGTTACTTTTTCTTTCTTGATTGACAACACTGATTAAATCTTTACAGTCAGCGCGCAGTGTGCCCAATAATGAGACACACGGCGAAGTTTATTTGCAGCGAGTAGGACGGTCTCGGACCTTCGAGAATTCACGAGAATCTGCAGTGCGAGCAAACATGGACTGGTGAGTAAAAGCGTATTTTTTAGGCGTCGTTTAATACCATTTTCAAAATAATTATACCGTTGGAAAAGTTATAAATGAGGCTTGTAAAGTGATGTATAAACACAGTTTTTGACCTCAACATATTGAGTGATCTTGACTACTTCGGGAAATATTTGGACAAAATTTGTCGTTCGCTGGACTCTCGGAAAGTTATGCTTTCGAACCGTACTATTTTCATCTCTGCAGGTTCCATTTGCGATTTTTATTTCGATTCCAAATTTTGCAAAGTCACAGTCGGTAATATGCTATGTCAGTGACCCCAATGTCATCACGTGGGAGATTTTTATGTGCATACCGTGACAGCTTGATTGCTGCGAGATTGCTTGCGGTGTCGACAATAGATTCCCTATCCATGATATTTAATTAAGAAAGGTGCATTAGACTTCGGATGTTGGTCAAAAAAGATTAAGTAGCATTTAATCATTGGTTCTGTACTTTTTACAGGGAGTTTGGACCTAATAATTTGTGTAAGTGAATTGTTGAACAAAAAGAAAATGTTTTTATATGTCTGGGATTGTGAATGCAATTTTCCCTTTTTTTTACATAACTACACGTAGCTCCTTTTTTATAGCTCAATGTAATTGCAAGTGCTTGAAGTTGTGCCAGTCTATTGAATAAGCTTAAGAGCGTATCTTGCCTTTTGATGCTTTGTTGACGTGTATCGTTTTTGTTGACTCTTGGTGACAGCGACACTTGATGGCACAACTGGAGTTCACAATTTCTTTGTTCTGGCTGAAAAAATTGTATACATATACATACATTTAGGTGTCCACATACCGGTACATTTCTTTGCAATTTCTCTGTCATTCTTTCCCCTTTTACAGGCCCAACACTCAGAGTGATCTGCCGTATTTTCGAGTGAAAATTTTGGGGATTCCATCACGAGATCTCTGCCAGGTTTTTCGACAGCGGCTGGTTTGTCTCAGAGCTTGTTACGAAGCCGGGGAGTACCTCATGACGTTTCAATAATATCTCAGGTCTATTTCCATGTACATTTTTGTAATTGATCATTCCACTCTAGTTGCCTAAAAATCCAGGCTTTTTCTTTATTGCTAGACAAGTGTTCGCACATATTTCTGCACATGTACAAATGTTTGTTATCATAGTAACTGTGGGCTATAATTGACATTTCATCAAACTGTAAACCAAACTCCAATGAGTGTGTAGGACTTGGCGCTTATAAAATTTAAACCTTGCCAGACTTGTATTTCAAAATTTATTGTTTTTGATATCACAGCACATTTTTTAAAAAGCAGGGAAGTACTTTAAATAAAATGGAGATGAACCACTGACATAAACATCTCCATACTTCAGTTTTCATGGTTACCTTTTTATACTTAATTTTGTATTGTGCCATTGTTAAATTTTGTCTTTTATACCAGGTCTTTGAAACATTTTGCAAATATTTACATATGATTTAACAATAAAGAAACAACTGTTTAACGTTTAAAGAGATCAATGCAGCTAGTTGTTTAAAAAAATAAACAATTTTCTAGAACAACAGGGAATTAATGCATGGCTTTCTTTTGCATTATTGAGATGTCCTTTTTTATTATTATTAATCAACTTCGTCCACAATTTTAATGAAAATGGCCCATAGGAATCTGGTACTGAGTAACCTAAAATGAGAATAATTTACACCCACCACCCAACTACGCTTCCATTTCTGGCTGTATTAAAAGTATTAATGGCATATTTTTAATACTTTTCTGGACAAACTTGTCAAAGAATAAAAGCGAAATGAAAAAAGTTAGGCCCCTTCCACTTTTATTTGTCACTTTCAATCCAACAAAAATGAAAATCAGACAACAGTTGAAACTGCTTTATGGTTGGAAAAAACAAAAAGGGACGCCTGCCTTTGCAATGTACATAAAACATCGTTTTAATTCCTGCTACGTAAGGACAGGCAACCAGTTTATTTTACAGTCAGGCAACTGAGCCCCCGCTTTTACTTAACACTCTATAAGCCTGTGTGGAGCATGGTACATGACAAAACAAACCGCCCTAGAGCTGAGTGTTACGGTGCGTGATTAGTCAAAATGCAAGGTCGCTTGGGGATTTGACCAATGAGGATAACGTACACATGTCTTTAAGGAGCTTTCACAGCGGGCCATTTCCGTGACCTGGACGCTCGGAATATACATCATTTTTCTGTGATCCTGACTACCTCAGCCATTCAAGGGGACTATTACTATGAAATATTCGAACATTCAATCTCCAAGCTCATGAAAATTCACTTTTTGAGTGAGTTCGTGCATACACTGCAAATAAACGAAAGCGCTTTCGGACATGCTGTGCACTGACTTCTAAAACTTAGTAAAAGAGTCGGGGCATATTTCTTGCCACCCCCTCCCTACAGTTTCCTCCAATTTTGTCTCAATGTATCTGAGGTATTTCCAGCAAAGTCTAGAAATCATTTTAAAACCGTTCCGACAAGTATCAGACACACTGTTCCCGTGAAACGCCCATTCAGGTGTTCATAGCAAGCGGGTCGCCACAATAACAAAGTGAATCCATGCCGGATTGCATAAACCTCGTGGCTGCACTCTTGGCCGAGATGATATTGGGACCGAATCCCTCCCCCGGCAGTGAGATTAGCCGGAAAGGCCGGCTTTTTCTCAGATTAATGCATGTAAATAACAGTACGGAACAGTGTTAGTTTTACTGTAGCAAATAGTGCTCGATCATTCTTCAAACCCACTCGAGGGTAGTGGTTTACCTCAAGTGCTATTGACCACGCAGATGTTTGCCTGTGGGTTGAGCAGCGCAACCCGTTTGCACGGACAGTATTGCGTAACTCTTACCAGCCTCAAAACTAATATTGGAGAGTCGGACCCCCGCAACCTCATTTGCATAAGGTACTAGGGAAAAATAGACCTATTTGTTATTCAAAGCAGTTTTGCCGTTGCATGAGTGGTGTCAAGGCAAGAACTAAAAACAAAATATGTTACTCACAAAACCACTCTGTTAGTTACAAAAACCGGCATTTTACAAATCTAAATTGTGGCTTTTTATCTCTCTTTATTTTTTAGTCATACTGACTCCTGGGCCGATCAATAATTGTTTTTGGTTGTCACCACCATGAAGACGTTGGACGAAACTTACTACGTCCAAACTCTTGAGGCGTTCATCGAAAGGTGTGACCAAGAGCAAGTTACTTTAGCTTGGATCCGGGCCAAGATGCCGTCCCTGCTCAAGGCCGTGCGGTGGCCCGTCAGCACGGCCGAGGTGGTTCGTGTCATTGGGGTCGGCTCTGGCAAAGGTAAGCCTAGCTCTGTGCTCACTTAGAAAGGTACTATGGGCGTAAATCCCGGGGCGATGGGGGATTTACACTCCACACACACACCAGGGGGGGGGTTAAGGAAGCCCCCCCCCACACACCAACACATTTCCCTACATGCGTCCTCCGAATTCCAGCACAAATTGTATGCAGCTAAACGTGCGCAAGTGATTTCAAAGATTTTCGAGCAGACCAAATATTAAACTAGATGTGATGTTTTGGAAAAAGCACATAGCTGTTCCCAAAATGTTTTTTATTGTCTTTTGATGACTGTCAACGAGTATCATAACTTTGTAATGAATTGGATTACAAAAATTTCCCAAGTGGCATGTATAACGAAAAACCAAATATCCCTGCAATTGAACGTATTGTGCATGAGATATGACGATTTGTGTGTTAAAATACAAGTTCCCGTCAACCGGAAGTAGAGGTCACACGAGATCAAGATATCAATTTTCATCTATAACACGCCCCTGACTATGTGCATACGAAATTTGTGTTAAATCGGTCAAATAGTTAACTAGTTATTAGACTGTAAAGAATGAATTTTTGAATTGAGGTCACGTGACCCCTGATGTCGTCACGATTACAAAAAGTTTTCGGGCACTTTTTCGGATGATGGTTAATTACTATACCAAATTTGAAACTGATCGGACTTAAAATAATTGCCAAAGTGCCCCTCAGAATAAAACAGCGGAAAAAGAAAAAAAAAGGAAAAATAACGAGGCTTCTATGTCTGTTTGCAGCAGAACATAGGGCTTTTTCGCTTTTTAATGAAAATGTCATAGTCGTGATGGCATATCTTCAAAGTTACAACCTTCTGGGACAATCACTTTAGGAGATATACGGCTTGAAAAGATGTTCCTTTAATGTCACTTGACTTTTCTACTGATGACATCATCAGCCCATAAGGTCAATTTTTGTCTATCATGCATCTCCCTCCAGACATCTGCTAACGCTAAGACAGGTACTTTTGGAGATATAGGGCTTTAAATGATGCATTTTTCATGACACGTGACTTGTCAACTGATGACATCATTATCCCATGAGGTCAATATTTCTCCAAAGCACTTGCTTTTGAAGATATCTGCAAGATTAAAACCAAATCGTACTTCTACTTCAGGAGATAAAGTGCCTTAAAGAGTGCGCCTTTAATGTCACGTGACGTGTCTACTGATGACGTCATCATCACATGAGGTCAAAACTCCTCTAAAACACTCT